TAAACACCCAGAGCTTGCACTGATGGGCTCATGCGTTCTTGTCATGCTGATGAAGGACCAGGATGTGTACATTATGAACCTTGGCGATAGCCGTGCTATTCTTGCACAAGATAGACTAAACCAAGGCTACAGTAACCCGATTCTTGCCAAAGAAGATGTGAGACATCGAAGCAGGTCAAGGGAGATTCTTGCTCGTGTGGAGCTAGACAGGATATCAGAGGAATCTCCAATGCAGAATCCTAAAGGTCAGCTTTGCAACATTAATAAGACCAGGGAACTTTCTCTATGTAGCTTAAAAACACGGGCCAGTCAGCTATCTTCTGACCATAGTACAAGCATTGAGGAGGTATGAACCAATTAAGAATACTTTCTGTTTTTCTCCCATCTCGAGAAATCTAAATGGATATTTCTTATGACGCATCATGCTTGAGCTTGTGGTTGTTTGATGGCAAAGATGTGTGCACAAGCACCTAGTATCTCTGTGAAATTTTTTTTCTAATAATTGTTATAAAAATTGGTCAAGAATACTGGTTTTATTGCAAGATACTTACTCGAGCTGACATACATTTCTGAAGACTTCTGCCTTATTGTCAGTAGTTAATTATCATAAGAACATATTCTAGTATATGAAGTATAGTTAATTATTATAAGAACATATTCTAGCGTATGAAGTACATGTACAGTAGCAATGATGAGAAGAGAAAAGAAACTAGCGTATGATAGCTGTGAAACTATGCGAGAGATAGAAACTGTGTGATACTGGTGAAGGGTAAAGATTTAATAGAAGTAAACACAATTCTGGGTAAAAAATTATGTTTATGTTTGTTTGAATATTTTGAAAAAGGTATTCTTCTAAGTCTTTTTCTATGCATGGAGAAATTGAGGATTTCTTCCTGGTTGGCTGAGCTAAAAGTTGGAGTTTCAACTCGGGATGGATACTAGCAAGGCAATGCCATTGAGAATTTCCACATGCTATTGAAAATGCACTGTACCAAATATGCACTAATGAATCTGCAAGTCATTATTGACATACATCCTTCATCACATGGGATTGCAGGATAAATACGATTCAGAGTTAGTTAAAATTTGAGTAAATTAAGAGAAATAAAGTTCTTTTGTGGTAAATGTGTTGCAAAGTGAGCATTTTATTCAAACAGCAATGTCATTCATTTTTAAATTTTGCTAGACAGGAGGAAGATGACAAGTTACTTCTATGATTATATTCTTTCATGTGGATGTTACTGGCTAGATCTTGTGTTAAACAAAGGATATTTCAATTTTGGTGTGAAAAGTGTTTATTGATTGGTGAACTCTCATGGTATCTATGTGAACAACACATTTGGCTCTGAACATAACTCACATCCACATGTGCACAATAGATCATCTTGATGGCTAAAATCCTCCGACAATCTTATTCACAATATTTTGTGATGTTCATAGCTGACAAAGATGAGTTCATTCCCCTTTTACCAAGATCTTCAATAAAGCATGAAGGTAATCCATTGATGTTCCTGGTGAAACTACATGGAGTACAATTTCAAGGAAACATCAAGAGGCCCTTGTGGTAAATGAAGGAATGAGCCATGAACCAAGCACGCATGCTCCTAGAGAAACCAGGAAAACATTTTTCTTTCTGTAGCTCATAGCATTTACTTTTTTTCTTGTGGAAATGTTAGCTTGCTAAGCATTCAAAATGATTGTGAGAAGGCTTTTTCTTTGAACCATTTGCTGTATCATATATGATTTCCTCAATACTGTGTGTCTGTCATAATGACTTATCGTTTGCCCTAGTTAATTGACCTTTTCAACTAAATCATTGCAGGAAGTATTGAGAATTAAAGAAGAACATGCTGATGATGCTCAGGCTGTCTTTAATGACAGAGTAAAAGGAAAGTTAAAAGTTACCAGAGCATTTGGTGCAGAATTTTTGAAGAAGGTTAGCTGATACATAATGCAATTTAAATTAATAAGCCCCTTTTAATCTATGTTTGCATTCTTTGTATCCACTAAGTGTGTCTGGTTCTGGTGTGATTCTGTTCACGCTAAACTTCATTGAATTGAGAGGTGATTCATATTGCAGCCTTGGAAGGTGGTTCATTATCAGAAAGTTAATAACTAAACCTTTAAATGACATGATAGCTTCTCTTGATATATCATAAATCCAAATTAGCCAGGCAGTGTCAAGTAAACGAGTCATTGGTTTGGCCATATCTGGGGTAAATTCCTGCTCGTACCTGGGAAAGAAATAAGGTATTGAAACTATATTTGTATCTACTGTAGATCATTGGCTGTGTAAATGGCTCAATAATAGAGTAATGTATTATCATGGTGATTACTTTAAACATTTTTATCTTCGATTAGATTGCTTACTGGTGCAAAATCTGATCATTGGCCGAGGTGCACTCCTGCTTATACTAAGGAAAGATGTATGGAATTCTAAACTGTATGTGTAGAAGTAAAAGCTATGTATTCTCTGGAAATGAGGTGAATCAGTATACATTATTTTTGGGTATGTGCATTCATATTGAAGGGACTGTAACAGCAAAGGAGAGCAAAGAGAGTTTCAAATCATTTCAGTTCTTGATTGTGGCAATGAAAATTCTCTTAAGCCCACATATTAACTCTTTCTATCCTACCTTGTGTATGAGCCCAACCCATCCACGACTAGGCCACTCACATCTTGCGGCATCCCGGACCCCAACATCCAAGCATGATAAGAAAATTCCATTATGTGTGGGGCCTGGTGTACAGAAATTGTGATCGGCCTTGTGTATAGGTGGAGCCATAAATGGGGGGGGAGGGGGGGGGCAGGATTGAAAAAATCTCCTTGTGTTGATCCCAGTACAGTTTTCCTTTATTTTTTTGCCTGACAAAAGATCTGATACTTCTGAATAGCGAAGTCTAGTGAGATACTCTTTGCTCATGTTTAAACATCTATAGGTAGTTGAGAATTGAAATCTCAAAGCAGTGTTGTGGAATATTCAATCTGAGCACGAGACAAATGCTTGGGCACTGCAGTGCCATAATCTTGTATATTTGGTGGCATTTCCCTCAAAAGATCTCATTGGTGTGAAACAAAAAGGTGATTATTTCTTGTTGTAATAAACATGTAGTTAGGAAATTGGAATAACAATGTCCTGATCTAATGTAGAATATGAATTTTTTTGCAAAAACAAGGCAAGATGTGATATGCCATACATGACTGAAAGAACAGGCATTCTCATTACATTTGTTTTAGTTATCTACTTTTGGTTATATTTACTGGAAAGTTGATTTGTTTGATGAGGCTGATTGTACCTTTTTCCCTCTCTGAAACAGCCAACCTTCAATCAAGCTCTTCTTGAAATGTTTAGAGTTGACTATATCGGGAACTTGCCATATATTAGCTGCATTCCCTCGGTTCTTCATCATCGTCTCAGCTCAAGTGATCGATTCTTAGTCCTCTCTTCTGATGGGCTTTACCAGTATTTCAGCAATGAAGAGGTGGTTTCACATGTCACATGGTTCATGGAAAATGCACCAGAAGGGGATCCTGCACAGTATCTCATCGCAGAGCTGCTACTTCGTGCAGCTAAAACGAATGGTTAGTCCATTTATGTGCTCATTTAGTTCCTTTTTTGTCATCACTTATGAGACGCGCTTGCATTCCTCTTAGAGTTGCCCTCCATCTTATCCTTCAGTTGCTTTTTAAGTTTCAATGGTTCGGTTCTTGCCACTCATTACTTAACTGTGTGCATAGTAATGCACCCAGTACGTATGTTCCTCGAGTCATGTTCAAGCCAGAGCTCCAGCGGGAGCGTAGTAATAGTCATCCTTGACATGCTAGAAGATTTTAATGAAGGGTCAACTTTTGAAGCTGTTGTCATCATTCATTCTTTGACGAGTTGATAGAGTCACCTTTTCCAAAAATTCTGTCAGGTCTAACTTGAGGCTTTCTCTCTATTTTGGCAATCAAGTTAGAGTTAGCTTCCGAACATGGAATTGCCTCTGTAAAACCTTGCGATTCAGTTATGGGTGTCCAATATTCTTGTTGCCTGGGTTAATCCGCCTTGCATTTCTTTCTTGGGTAGAAATCTGTGTTTCCGTGTCGGTGGTTACGGGTTAATCTGCCATGCATGTCGAATATTGAGTTTCTCACTGCATAATGATTCACGTGGTTGTAATTCCATGTTTGCTTCACAGGGATGGACTTTCATGAATTGCTGGATATTCCACAAGGTGACCGTCGTAAATACCATGATGATGTTTCCGTCATGGTGATCTCCCTGGAAGGAAGGATTTGGAGATCATCCAGTTGATCGTTGCTGGGAGCAATCTTTTGGCCCTCCGTCCTCATCCCGTTAACAAGCGAGAGGCATTCATGTTCTTTACACGTTCTCACCATCTTTTGATGTACTCTTCCATTTAGTGGGTTTCATATGTGATGGCCATCGCTCTCATCCTCTCGGTGAGCCTGCTGATCCAAATCGGAGGCCATTCTGTGGATAATTACAACCCCAAATCATCGTCGATCATTTTTGCAATCCCTGAAGTGAATCCATTTGACTTGCCACGTTGGGTTCCTTGAATCCAATCATCAGTCTCAACTCTCGTGGCTAAACGGTGACCATAGACTCCTTTCGACCCAGCTCTGTCCTGTGTCTCTGTCAGCTCATGCCACAGCTTTTAGGAGACGAGAAGAGTTAGGGCTTCAGAATGGCATCGCACATGCATTACCATGCCTTCTTCTTCCTCTTTATTCCCCTTCTTTGGAACCTACTGCCGCTGTTGAGCTATCCATAACTACGCGTGGGTAACCAATACAATTAAATGGGAAGGATACATATATGCATGTATATGGGTGTGAGTTCGTCCTTCACATCTGGATGCAGAGTGGCTCTTTTGCCGAAGCTGGATCTCGAGGCTTTTGGCATGTGCGAGGCACCGTACCATTCGCGTCCATGATCAAAATATGCCAAAGGAACATGGAACATGTAGCTTCTCTGAGACTTCCACATCATCGCACAGGATCAGCTCATTTCCATCTTGATAGGGATTTTTCTTCCTACAGGATATGAATATTGAGTCGGCAAGTGGGCAAATCAGGTCCCTACATCATGCTTTTATGTGCATCGTCGCTACCTCTTTGTTCCTCTTCTCTTCCTTCCATCTCACCCTCTTCAGCAGCGGCAAGCAAGCGAGCAGCCACAATGGCCAAGCCTTCCCTCCTCACGTTCTTCTCCCTCCTCGTCGCTTCCACCCTTGCTGCGGATCCTGACATGCTCCAGGATATCTGCGTCGCGGATCTCAACTCCGGTAGCTCATCTTCGCCATCCCTTCTTGATTTCTTTGCTTGATCTGCCGTCTTCTTGCTTATGTGGTGGAGCGACCACTGCAGCCGTCAAGGTGAACGGGTTTGCATGCAAGCCGGCGGCGGAGGTGACGGAGGCGGACTTCTTCTTCCAGGGGCTGGCCAAGCCGGGCGCCACCAACACCACCATGGGCTCCCTGGTGACGGCCGCCAACGTGGAGAAGATCCCGGGGCTCAACACCCTGGGCGTGTCCATGTCCCGCGTCGACTACGCCCCCGGCGGGTTGAACCCGCCGCACACCCACCCGCGCGCCACCGAGATCGTCTTCGTGCTCGACGGCACCCTCGACGTGGGCTTCATCACCACCGCCAACAAGCTGATCACCAAGACCATCACCAAGGGCGACGTCTTCGTCTTCCCCCGCGGCCTGGTCCACTTCCAGAAGAACAACGGCGACGTTCCCGCCGCCGCCCTCGCCGCCTTCAACAGCCAGTTCCCGGGCACCCAATCCATCGCCGCCACCCTCTTCGCCGCCACCCAGCCGGTGCCCGACATCGTCCTCTCCAAGGCCTTCCAGATCGGGACCAGAGACGTGAAGAAGATCAAGAGCCGCTTGGCGCCCAAGAAGTAGCGAGATCGAGACATGTTCTTGTTCGGAGCTCGAGATCAGTTCATCCAATCACCCGCCATGAGCATAACTCCCAATCAAAGCCTAATGATGTCACTTCTCTTTCCGCCATTAGGATGCTATGTGTCCTATCTTTCTTCCTTGATTCAGAGTGTGATTCACCTAATTATCAAAGAAGCTGTTTGAAACGGTTTTTTCCCTATTTATATAAGTTAACAGGGTGAATTTTAAATTTTCTCAATAGAGTAGAAAGATTTTCTCATTCAGTTAGGGAAATCTTATCTGCTATCGTACCCCCGCAAGATGGTGCTCCTATACCAATCTTGGATCGATGCAATGCAAACAGTTTATGAGCGAGAGGTTTTATGAGTGAGTCGGCTAATTGATCAACCATATGTACATGAGAAACACGAAGTTGATGACGGACAACTTAATCTAGCACAAAGTGAAAATCGATAGTAATATGTTTCATGCGGGAGTGGAACACCGGATTAGCGCACAGATAGATAACTCCAACATTATCATAATATATTATATGAGAGTAACTGATGTTGAGTTTCTTGAGCAGATTTGACCCAATTGAGTTTTGCAGTGACAATGACATGGTATTAAACTCCAGTTGTAACTGTATGATTATCTTTTGCTTCTTAGAACTCCAACTGATTGGATTAGCGTTAAGAAAGACAATGTACCATGATGTGGATATTCGATCATCAATGTTGCCTGCCCAATTAGCATCAACAAAGGCATGGAGATGAAGTTGAGAGCGTTTACGAAGAAAGAGACCATGATTGAGGATCCTCTTAAGATATCGCGGGATTCGTTTGACCACAGACTAGTGCATAGTAGATGGCCTCTGCATAAACTATGATAATTTGTTGACTGCAAAGGAGATGTCTGAACGGGTGAGAGCTAAGTACTGTAAGGAGCCAACGACTTGGCAGTATTGAGTAGGCTCCGTAGCAGGATTGCCATCAGACAATTTGAGAGAGCCACTAGTAGAGAGAGGAGTTGTAACTACATTTGCATCTTGTACGTTTGTTTTTGATAATATATCTTGAATGTACTTTCTTTGTGAGAGAAAGAGACCAGAAGATGTGAATGTAGCTTCTACGCCCAGAAAATAGTTCAAGAGTCCTAGATCTTTAAACGAGAACCGATCCGCCAACTGCTTGATGAACGCTTGGATTTCTACGGGGTTGTTGCCTATGACAATAATGTCATCCACATATACTAGAATATATATTGTGTCACCATGATGTTGTCGGAGAAATAACGAGATATCAGATTTGGAGTTGAGAAAGCCAACCGAAGTCAGAAAAGAGCCAAGTTCTATATATCAAGCTCTTGGAGCCTAACGAAGTCCATAAATATCTTTTCGCAGTTTGCAAACATGTCTTGGATACTGAGAATGAGTGAAACTAGGAGATTGTTGCATAAAAATAGCTTCAGTTAGAGTCCCCTATAAAAAGGCATTATTAACATCCATTTATCGTAATTGCCAGCCCTTAGTGGTGGCTAATCTTAGGATAAGTCGGATTATAGTTAGCTTAACAACGGAACTAAATGTCTCAGTGAAATCAACTCCGGGTCTTTGATGAAACCCTTTGGCGACGAGGCATGCCTTATATCGGGCAACAGAGCCATCTGGGTTCCGCTTAATTCGAAAGACCCACTTACACCCGATGATGTTTTGTGTATTATGAGTGGGTACTAGATCCCATGTTGAGTTATGGAGGAGGGCATTATATTCCTCACACATGGCGGTATGCCAATGTGGAGATTTTTGGGCTTGAGTGAAGGTGGTGAGTTCAACTGTGGTGGATGAGGAATTCATGATAGCATGGAGGTCAAGGACTTGACGCGGTTTGAAAATATCACTCTTAAAGCATATGGTCATAGGATGGTTGGGGACTACGGGATTGTGAGGTTGGGTTGGCAGAATAAGTGGTTGAGAGTCACTAACACAGGCCGGGTTAGGTGTAGGTACGTCAGTATCACCTGACCGAGAAGGAGATAAAGATAATGGGTGTGTTTCAGAACTAATTACCCCAACATTTGGAGAAGAAAGAGGTGGAGTAGGAATGGAGGGAATGAGTAATTGCTAAACTGGAGGAGTGATATAGTGAGGATCATGAGGGGAGGAACGGGACGATGTCATGGGAGGCTCATCCGGTTGGATCGAAGGTATATTCCAGTGATAAATGGTTAATGAAGTGGTCTGCATGGTAGGAAAGACATGGTTTTGGAAAGGAAAGACTGACTCAATAAAAATAATGTGACGTGATACAAAGACTTTGTGAGTGTGGAGATTATAGCAACGAAAGACATTATGTTCAAGAGAGTAACCTATAAAGATACAAGGATTAGATCATGATGTTAACTTATGAGAGGCATAAGGATGTAACCATGGATAACATAGATAATCGAATACTCTGAGTTTACGAATATTTGAGGGTTTGTGAAATAGTGTGTCAAAGGGGGACTAGTAATGTAGGACTAACGTATGCATCATATTAATAAGGTAGACGACAGTTTGAAAGTCTGCTATCTAAAAGTTAGAAGGTACGGAGGCCGATGCAGAAGTATTAGCCTAGTTTCTACTATATGCTTATGCTTACGTTCGGCGGAGCCAACAATTTAAGGAGTATGCGGGGGAGACTTAAAGTGTTGAATACTACAAGCGAAGAGATAAGATGTTAAGGCTTAATATTCACCGCCACTATCAGAGTAAACCATTTTGATTGTAGACTGAAAGTGATTTTCGACAAACTTTCGAAAGGTAGGAAAGATGGTGGACACGTCAAATTTATGGTGAAGAGGATATAACCATGTGTACTTAGTGAAATGATCTTAAAAAATAACATAAAATCTGAATTTATCAAAAGACAGGATTAGAGCAAGGACCCAAACATCTGTATAGATAATTTTAAATGGTTTAGAGGAGGAAATGAAAGATGAGCCAAAGGGCTGTCGATGACTTTTATTACTAAGACATGCATCACAATGCGTTATAGAACTATGTGATTTAAAAATAGGAAGAGAGTAACGAGAAAGTAATTTCTGCTGAATAAAGGACGATGGATGACCAAGACGACGATGCCACACATCAACTGGAGCCGCAACGGAAGAATGAACAGTGGGCTAGGTTATTTGTGGAGTTGACGGCCATTCGTAAATGTTACCTCTATTCGGGCCCTGGTCTAAGGATGCCCCCGTGCTCAAAACCTTAACAAGAAAGGAATCATGAAAGAATTCAATTAAAGTATTATTATGTTTATAAAATTGAGAAACAGAAATGAGGTTGCGTTTAATATGAGGGGCACATAAAACATCATCAAGTATAAATGTGATATTATTATAAGTAAGCGTTGTGAAACCAATATAAGTTATAGGAAGTCTTTTATCGTCACCGATGATGATATCTTCATCACCGCCATAAGTGTTGTGAAGAGATAAATTCTTAAGATCAGCGGTGATGTGATGGGAGGCGCCAGAGTCGATAATCTAGATGGGCTAGCTAGTTGTTGGAGTAGTTATAAGATTTGTCTGAGGCCAATATGACGGAGTAGGGAGGCAGGGTCGAGATCGACAAACTTTAGCTGAGTGTCCAACTTTATCACACAGTTGGTAGACGACCTATCTTTGTTGGCTTGGTAGGGCAAGATGCCAAGACAGACGATTATTAGAGTTGTCAGTTTGCAAGAAGTTATGATTAAGAGAATAAGAGGGTTTTGCATAGGATCCATAGGATCAAGATGTGTATGGGCCAAACCTTTGGAGATGGTCGGAGGGTACCAAGTGCCCTTCCTCTTAGACTTGTGACTGACTTGAGCTGTGATAGTTGGCCCGAGCGGCTTGTCCTCACACTTCAAATACATCTCATAATCAGTCAATTTGTCATAGAGGTCTTCAAATGATACTAGCGTGCCACGTGCCCGAATTGCAACTGCCAACTCCTTGTAATCATCTCCGAGACCATTAAGGGTATAAATGATGATCTCTTCGTCACATAGGGAATGAATGACCTATCAAAGCCAAATCATCGATGATAACTTTGATATTTTATAGATAATCAGTGATAGTACTTCCCTCTTGTTTGGTCATCATCAGCTTGGACAAAAGACTGAGCTTGTGAGTATGTGAATAATTCACCAAGGTTGTTTGTAGTTTAGACCATGCTTCGACAATAGTCCCACAAGAAGATATCAATGGAGCGATGGAACTAATAACTGAGTCTTGAATAGATTAGAGGATGAGACGATATTGATGCAACCATAGTTTGTGAGCTGGATTTGGTACTAGATTGGGTTCGTTGGAGATGTGGACCATAGTTGGCGGACAACTAAAGGAGTTGTCAATATAGCCTAGCAAGTTGTAACCAAATAAGAGATTAAAAAATTGAGCCTACAAGGATACATAGTTACCACCCTTTGATAACTTGAAAGGGATTGGCATGACAACATTGATGGAGATAAGCTCGGTAGGAGAAGGACTAGGAGTCCCTGCAAATATAGTAACTGGAATATCGGAAGAAGATAATAAAGACATCCTAGACATTCTCTTGTCGGATTTTTTTTTTTTCTGCTGAAGAGCAGCGGCGGTCTCATAGTGAAGAGAAGTTGAGGGTTTGGAGAGCAGTGTGATTTGAGGAAATAAGAGCCTGTAAGAAGAGCAAGAGCATATCGCTGCTACTGCGGCTACAGCTAAGGAAGCTGCAGTAGATGAGGAAGCTGTAGCATATGAGGAAGCTATAGTAGATGAGGAAGCTGCCGCGATGCTGCAGCTATGCTAAAGAAATCTACAGCGATTAGGCGTATAGAGGAAGAGCTCCATCGGCCTCAATGCAGAGGGAAGCAGCTACGACAGAGGGAAGCGACTGCTGCTGCTACTGCAGAGGGAAGTGACTGCTATGGGCCGGGAAGCGGCTGCGGAAGATGTCACAGCATCCTTGGGATTTTAGAGGCTGTGACAGTAAAGGAGGAAGACGCAACAACCACTGTTAAGCGAGGAAGACACCACCGTTGAGGAGGCAGTAGGAGAATGTTTCTCTCCTTGCGCGGCGGCGGCAGAGAGTGTCTGCTGTAGGCAGCAAAGTAGGAGAGCGGGCAAAAGGCCGAGGAAAAAGAGAAGTAGTGGATGAGTAGAGCCAAGACGGTGCTCATTAACGCTGGCTCCGAATCCGCATCCCGGT